AAAAAATATATTTACCCCCTTTGATAATTCTACCTCGTGTCTCTCGCATAGTGACCTTGTGTAAGTTAGAAAATTCATCAAACCATACTTTGGCGTCGTCAACTGTACAAATATTCACATGAAATTTTGCTTCAAACGGTTCTGAAGATGCACCCAAAAAATTTAATGGTGGTATTGCTTTGAATAAATCAACAACATAATTGTAGTTTAGGGGTAAAACGCGTTCCAAGGTAATGAGGTTATCATTTATAATATATTGCGGTTCGATATTATGTGATAAAAAAATATGTAGTATGATGGTACTATTTTTATTTAAGTTTGATTCTATTTTATAAAGAAAACATAGGTTTATGTTGAATAAGGTAAGAAGGTAAAAAAATTTATCGTTAATGATTTATTGTTTTCATACGTGTTAATCTGAAAAATGTTATTCTTAAAAATGTCATTCTTAAAAAATGTCGTTCTTAAAAATGTTGTCTTTAAAAATGTCGTCATAATTATGCAAATGTAATCATCAATTGGAATTTCTTGACTTCGACATCAGATAATTGGTAATAATTGTAGATTATTATTGCTAACTGAAACATTAAAAGTAACTACAACTATTTTCTCATTATTTATTAAACTTGTCTAATTATTGGTTTATAATTAAATGCGAAAATTTTAGTAATAATTGTTAGTTGAAAATAAAGTAATCGTTCAGTTTATAAAGTTGAAATTCACAACGAAATTGAATGATTAATTGATTTTTTGATTAATTAATTGATTAGTCAACTAATCGATTCGCAACTATTTTATTAAACCTAATTTGCAAACAGTCTGATTTACAAAAATGCATTCTAACGTCTAAGAATGCAGTAGAGGTTTAAAACACTGTAACGTTATTGAGTTATAACTTATGGTCGCGTATTTGATTTTATATTAACTACTTGGTTAAAAACATGATTTATTTAGTAGAACTAGCTAGTTTATATTCATATTTACTTTAATGCCGTAACATATTTCATTTACTGTAATATATATATCAGTATATAATATCGATCGATATCGATATATTAATTGAAATTGCTGAATTGTCTAATTGCAGTTAAATGTAACACAATCGTATATTAAAACTGGTACAAAACCGGTATAGATATATGATCGACATCACATGACCAAAAACTGAGCACAGATTCTACATATGCTTCTAATATATGTTACAATTGCAGATCATCTGCACAAGCTATTTCATTTTTTTTAAACATTAGATATAAGGTTGTTATAATTTCTGCTTTGAGACTGTTAAGAATTCTGATCTTCCTATATACTTTAAATATTATAGTTCTAATTCCGGTCTATAATAGGTCACAAGTTACTTTTTTTTATAAACATAAGGCTATTGTAAACTCTGATCTACGTATATACTCTGAATGCTATTGTTTTTTTTTTTTTTATAATGTTAAAGGTGCAATATGCTTTTATCTTTATTAGATTTAACAAAAACTTCTTACATAATCAAAAAAGGTTTTATATTTTAAATCCAAATGCTATTGTTTATTCTTTTGAAACATAAGGTTATTGTGAATTTTTGCTTTGAGATTACAAATTCTGATATACATCATACTTTAAGCATTATTGCTCTAAATTTTGCTATAATAGATTAAGTAGTGGTTCTTTGTACTTTATGCTCTAAAATTATTATGAATAAAAGAGTTGGATCTGTTGAAGGTAGTAATTCTTCGTATTTGAAGTCTGCTAAAAGCAGTAATTCTTTGTATTTAAAATCTACTAAAAATAGCAATTCTTATAGACAAAGTAACTTTGGATTGTATTGAAAATCAGGTGAAGAAGATGCTTCAAATAGACAAAATAATTATATATTATACTATGATAAGAAAATTTGGCTTGTACAACAATTTTTTCTGAATTCACACTCTTTTCAAGATTTGTATTTTCTTTATAATAAGCAATAGTCTACTTAGGTAAATTATCTATTGATGAATACTTTATTTGATTTATTTTGCTTTATAATTTTTAACTAAAAAAAACTTATTTAATTTAGGTTCCATATTCATTTTATAATCAAAATGTAACTTCATTGTCAAGTAATACACCAATAAATGGTTTTATTAAACCTTTATACAATTATCAAAATCAGTTATGCCCACAATCTATATAGATATTATTAAGCTTTTTAGTCATTAAAGCTGTATTATTTACTTATTTATTTATAATCTACCTATATGTAGGCTTGGTTTTGATAATGAAGAATTACAAATAAATGAGAGTCAAAGTGAAATTAATAACTATAATAACTATGATAAAATTAATAACTATGATGAGGTTAATGACTATAATGAGATTAATGTCCATCATGAAATTAATGACTGCAATAAAATTTTTAATACTGATTCTTTAGATAATAAAAATAATGTAATACTATCTGGATTATATATAGGACAAAGTTTTCATATATAGGATGAAGCTAAAGAGTATCTTAATAATTATAGAAAGGAAAAAGGGTTTAGTATTTATAGAAAATAAAGTGAAAGTTTTATTGAAAATGAGAACAAAGTCATAACAAGGATTAATTAAAAATGTAGTTATGTAGATAAATATCAACCAAAAAAAGTATTAAACCC